ACACAAGAACACACACTCATTGACACGAGGACACACACACACAAGAACACACACTCATTGACACGAGGACACACACACACAAGAACACACACTCACTGACACAAGGACACACACCCACACACAAGAACACACACTCATTGACACGAGGACATGAGGACACACACAAGAACACACATTCACTGACACAAAGACACGCACCCCCCCACACTCACTGACCCTCACATGCATGAGGACATGCACAAACACACAAGAACACACAGTCACACAAGAACGCACACTCATTGACATGAGGACATGCACCCACACACAAGAACACACTCACCCTCGCACACGAGGACACACACCCACACACAAGCACACCCTCACACGAGGACACACCCACACACAAGAACACACACTCATTGACACGAGGACACGCACCCCACACACACGAACACACACTCACTGACCCTCACATGCATGAGGACATGCACAAACACACACGAGGACACATACACACAAGAACACACACTCATTGACGCGAAGACACACACCCACATACAAGCACACTCACTGACACGAGGACACGCACCCCCCACTCACTGACCCTTACATGCATGAGGACATGCACAAACACACGAGAACACACAGTCACACAAGAACACACACTCATTGACACGAGGACATGCACCCACACACAAGAACACACACTCATTGACACGAGGGCATGAGGACACACACAAGAACACACACTCATTGACACGAGGACACACACCCCCACACACGAACACACACCCACTGACCCTCACATGTATGAGGACATGCACAAACACATACACGAGGACACACACTCACACACAAGAACATGCACCCACTGACCCTCACACATACAGACACACACCCACATGTGTATCTGCACCCCCACAAGACCAGGTGCTCACATAAAGAACACACACTCACACGAGGACACACACGCACACAGAAGGACATGCACTCAAGATGCTCACACATGAAGCACATACCCACACGTATACCTGAACCCCCACAAGAACATGCTCAAAGGACACACACATGTACCTTCATGCCCATGAGGACACACATGCACAAAGACATGCACACAAATGGTCACACAAACACATGTATACGTACAGAGATACACAGGCACATATAGACACCAATACAAGAACGTGCACTCACACGAGATGCGCATGCGTTTTCACACATATAAGGACGTACATACGACCCTAAAGACATACATGGACAAGGACACATGCACAGATGCTCAGCCATATAATGACACACATACAGACATGCACAGAAGAACACGTTCTTACACAGAAGATGTGATTTTACACAAATACACACATGCATTTGTGTGACAACATATACATGTGCTTACACAATTCACCCAACAACACATGCCCACACAAAAGAATCACAAGTCCTCACACGTGAAAACATACACAGGGATGTGCACCCACACGTACACCTGCACACACACACGAGGGCATACTCTCACCCAAAGGACCCACACTTACGCACACCTGTGCTCATGTGCACAGATGCTCACACATGTGGATGTGTACACACACAAGAAGACACAGGAGACGGTTGCCAGGGGTCTAGGGTTACCCCAGCCCAGCTCCCACTGCCCTCAGCTCCATAATGACCCAGGAAAGAGCCATTTGCAAGGCGGGGACACCGACCACACCCACAGGAGGAGACAGTATGTTACTTATTCCCACAGCTCTTCCTGCCTCGGGGCCCCAGGGAACCAGGGCTTGGACCCACACGTCCCTCCCTGGTCACTGGGAAAGTGCCCTGAAGGGCCGCATCCTCCTTCCACCCTCTGAAGAGGGCCTGCCAGCCCCGCCCCCCAGCACCTGCAGACACGCAGGCACTGCCTGGTTCTCTGCATGCATCTACCCCTCAGGGAATACACGTGGTCACCAGTGCGGGTGCAGTGTCTTCAACAAGTTACTGTTCACACTGACACGTCACACGCCGAGCTCTATTCCGAGGGAGAAGCCGTGGGGGTGGAGGAAACAGATGCGATGTTCTCACGTTCCCCTTGGGGTGGTCCGTGCACAGCTGCGTGGTGACCGGACAGACACCTGGCCCACCCTCATCTCAAGCTCCTGGGCAGGGGAAACCCTTCATCCCGAAAGGAAGTCAGGCACGTGGGAAAAGTCAGGCACGCACGACACCCTAGGCATCACTCACTCAAAAAGGCACCCACACCCTTGGTGAGAACGGTGGAGGCCTCCCTGACCCCGTCTGGATGGGCAGCCCACCGTGCAGGGGAGGGGCTCTGACCACACAGCTCCTTCTAATCTGTGATGGCCCAGCAGCTGGTGCCAGAAGCCCCAACCCCGCTAAAGCCAGGCCCACAGCAAGTCCTCTCTGCCCACGGGGATGGACAGTGGCAATGCCGACCTTGGGGTCGGGCCTGGTGCAGCAGCATAGCCTGTGGCACCCAGATGGGGCGCAGGGGGGATGCCAGGCACACGTGCTACACCGTGGCTGGGGGAGTACCCTCCCCCAAGAGCTCACAGAAAAGGTACAGGAATTCACAGTGGGGGCCCGAGAAGCCTCCCCAAAGCCCCACGCAGACCTCCTGGCAAAGCTACTGCTCCCTTCTTCCGCCAGTGCGGTCCTGGGCCCTTCGAGGGGCTGACCAGCATTACATCCCTGCAGATCATTGGGAGGGGGTTCAGAGCACATCAGATAGGGCTGTAGGAGAGCACAGAGCCTCCTGGGAAGGCCCGTGGCTGCTGTCTGGGTGTGACCCCATCTCCCTACACGCTAACCCTGCTCTAATTCCTCAGTTCCCAAGGCCCGTCCCACCCCGTGGCTTACCTCTTGAGCCCCAAGCTCCCGTTCTCAGCCCAGGGCTCCCACCCCATGGACTGCCTCCTCTAAGGCCCACAGCCTCCGGCAGGGGTAAGTGCCCAGTGTGAGGCCCCCCTTCAATAGCTGGGCCCCAGGGAGTCTGAAACCTGAGAAGAATATGTGCTTGGCCGGCTGCATCGAGCATCTGTAGGCTGGGCAGACTGCAAAGGGCCCATACCTCATGGCTGTGGGATGGGGAGCGTGTGCTGAGGCAAGAGGGAACCACTGACTGGTCCTGCCAGCTCGGCCTGCAGCCCCAGGAGCAGGCACCGCCCAGCCCTGCCGGCTCGGTCCCCAACCCCCAGGAGTAGGTGCCTGTGCTGAGCCCTGAATGGCTGTGTGGGGCTCTCTATCGGCCCACAGGCAGCTGCAATCCCCCAAGGACGCTCGTGAAGAGCAGCTGAGGCTGGGGGCCCACCGCATCCTCCCTGCATGTCCAACATCCGCCTCGGGCCCAAGGTAGAGCAGGTGGTCCCACTTAAAAGCCCAGCCACTTCCTCTGGCCTGGCCCTGCTGCACCCACTTGGGGGTTCCATAGCCCGCTGATCAACGCTGCCCTGACCCCACTCAGCCCTGCGCCTTGGCACCCAGTCTCGGTCCTCAGTACCCTCACAGCACAGGACCGTGGAATGCCTGGCCTGAGCCCTACGCTGGCTGACCTCAGTGCCCAGGGTCCCCGCCCCACCTGAGGCACTCACCCAGGGGTGACTGAGGGCGGGATGACCAGCAGAGCCAGCAGCCGGGCCTGGTGCAGAGCCTCAGCGATGTGGGTGAGCACGTGGACGAGCCCCCTGTGCACACGAGGGGGCGGCAGGTCAGGATGGCCCCAGTCCCGTGCCCAGCCGCCTGCACTGGCAATTCTGCCCAGGAAAGGGTCCGAGGCCACAGCGGGCCTGGGGGTCTGAGGCTGGGGAAGCAGCTGCTCTGGAGTATGGCGGGGGCGGGGGGCCTGGCAGCACTGTGAGGCAGAGCTACAAGGCCCCTTTGGCCCTCAGGCCCAGCCTCACTCCCGAGGGGCTGGCGGCGGGAGCTGCCCCAGGTGGGCTGCAAGGCTGCAGCCAGGCTGGGCAGGTGGGAGTCTATCAGCTGATAGCTGGAGCCCGCTAGCCAGGGCAGGGGGCAAGCTGGCTCCAGGAGCTGCCCCAGGTGGGCTGCAAGGCTGCAGCCAGGCTGGGCAGGTGGGAGTCTATCAGCTGATAGCTGGAGCCCGCTAGCCAGGGCAGGAGGCAAGCTGGCTCCAGGTGCTGCCTCTGGGCCAAGAAGCAAGAGGCAGTCCTCCTCCCATCAGGCAGGCAGGGACTGCCCAGCAATGCCCCCGCCCACCAGCAACACCGGGCTCGGCCTGCACAGCACAGGCCTGGCGTCACCACACTGCCCCCAGTGGGCAGAGCCGGGATTACTGCAGACCCTGTTGCAGGGGTGGGGGTGTGGCAGTGGGACAGCAGCAGGGGGCCACCCTGGGCCGCTCACCGCAGGGACACCAGGAGGAGCCACACTGGGCCCAGGGCATCCCTGGGTCAGGTGCAAGAGAGGCCTGGCTGAAAAGGAGGGGATTGCTGATTCCAGAACCGCCCACCCAACCCATGAGCTGAGACGCCATCACCTAGCTTGGCACCGGCTGCCAGAGGAGGCCCAGCCGGGCGAGCCCGCTGACACAGAGCCACGCTGGGCAGGAGCAGCTCCTGCGCGGGGCCTGACCGGGAAGCGCGGGTGTTCACCTCCCGGGCCTTTCCTTTCCTGGCTGAGTGGGACACGCCCCAGTGTCCCAGCTCAACCAGAGCCCCTGCCTCCCGTCAAGTCCTTGGAAGTGAGGGAGTGCTGTTGTCCCCAAGCCCCTGCCAGACACGCCGTGGGGGCAGCCACCCGCCCGCCTGCGAGCCCCACTCACGCCTGCTTCTGGCTCAACAGCTGACTCCAAACCTCCACCACAAAGCCGTCGAAGTGCTGGCTCTGGAGGGGACGGTACACTGAAGGCGGCCCAGCAGGGACCAGGCCTCGGGATCAGCCCTCCCCTCCCCTGGCCAGGCCCCACAGAGACGCTGCCCCTCCCTGGTGCAGCCCACAACCAGGCCCCAGGGGACAGGCGTGTCTCCAGCCCCGCGGGAGCACGCTGGCTCCCACCTTTGCCGTTTGCACCAGGGTCCTGCTCAGCTCCTCGATCTCGTCCTCGCTGTCCAAGACGCTCCTGAAATCATTGTAGGTCCAGTCCTCGAAGAGAAGCCGAGGCACTGAGGACACAGGCAATGTCCACCAGTCAGGGCGGCGACAAGAACAAGGCAGATGACCCCGCCGCAGCGCTCCGACTCGCAGACAGGCCAGCCCGTCCAGGGCAGCCACGAGTCCAGGACCTCTCTCCCTGGGATGAGTGCTGGGAGCATCCATCCCCATACCCCAGCCCCCCCAGGTCCCCAGCTCAGGGAGCAGCAGGACAGTGGCTGGGCCAGGCCCCACCTCCCCTGGTTCCCACAGGACCATTCTCTTCCGTCACCTCCAGCATGGACCCGGCCCTCGCTGCTCCATCACCTGGTGTCACAGCCCTTCCAGGTGCCCCTTGTTCAGCCACCCCCAGAGCTCTCTCCTGCCCCTGCCCCGCCCCTCTCCAGGCCGAGGGCCCGGGGGTTGCACTGTGGGCCAGGATGCTGGTTTCCCACCTAAGAAGGACCCGGGTACCCTGAAGACCCCCTGGGGGTTGCGCTGGCAGGGGAAAGCAGCCCGACTACCCAGGGCCGCTGACTCACCAACATGCAGGCCCTTGGCATTCTTCCGGACTGCTCGCATCCACCCTGGGGGCAAGTAAGAGTCATAACAGGGACCCCACAGCCACATGGGACACGAGCAGCCACACACAGGTGTGAGTGAGACCCCGTGCCCTCCTCCCAACCACTTCTGACCCTCTGCCCCCCTTTTGGACCCACAAAGGTGTCTTCAGCTTGTCCTCTGGCTGCTAGCTGCACCCAAGGTTGTCACCTTCCAAGGGGCCTCAGAATCTCGGGCCATCCTGATCTGAGGGACAGTGGCCATGCCGGCCAAGGCTCTCAGCAGTGGGGCCTGACAGCCAGTTTCTGACACACAGTTACTTCCTGGCAGTGCTCATGCATCAGAGAAAACCACTCCATCCCAGGACCCCTGAGATAGCCAACCTTCCTGTGTTCTAGGAGTTCTCTCTCCCCAAAAAGTGTCACACTAGGCACGGTGTCCTAAGGTGTAGCTCAGGTATGAACGTGGTCATGCTTGGGACAAGTGTTGTCAGAGGACAGTAGCTCCTTGCTCAAGACCCCCACCTCCCAGCGCCCCCGTGGCTTTTCACGTGAAGTACATGCAAAGGGTGAGGGCACATGGGCCGAATACCTGGCGTCATGCATGCCCCTCAGCTGGGGCAGGGACAACTGCCTGTGGGCCACTCCTGACCTCGAGCTGAGTGGGCAGTTCCCAGAGGAACAGGGCCACAGAGGATCCCCGGGGGTCACACCCCAGTGTCCACAGCTGTCACCCTCATGGGGACACACTCACCACACCCAGTCTCATCTGGGCCAGCACATGAAGCCTAGTCTTGATCACGGTCCCTCACGTCTACACGGCCAACACCACACCCACCCATTCACCCGCTGTCCTATGCTCAACTCCCACCCTCACGGCACACCCACCACACACCCACCCATTCACCCGCCGTCCTATGCTCAACTCCCACCCCCACAGCATACCCACCACCCGTGCTCAAACCTATCACCCAAGTTGAGTCACACCCACTACACTCACACCCACCACTCAGAACTACCGAATGTGTGTGCACATCCACACCCACCACACACACCCCCACCACCCAAATGCCATCACACCCACTACACGCTCACCACTCAGAACTACCGAATGTGGGCTTACACCCACCACACGCTCACGCTCAAGCACACGTTATTTCTTGTGAGTGCGGGTGTGCAGGGGGATGAGGACCTGGGTCCACGTCATGGAGGCCTGCAACCTCAAACATCTCCCGGCCGCGCCTCTTCAGCTGCAACCAGACAGGGGACACGTGCGTGAACTTGCTCCCAAATGTCTTAGCGATGTCATAGCCGTGGCTGTTCCACTGCAGGGGAGATGGACAAGGGGTGAGGGGAGTGCCACCTGCCCCTGCGACAGGACACGGCTGCTCGGGACAGCCCACTCAGGGTGCATGCCACCCTGCCCTGGACAGCCACGGGACCACCACTGCCCATGGCCTCTGCTCATGACCACAGCGTTCTCCTTCACCGGGGGCCCCTCTGTGAGGTGCCCACTCGACTCTTGAGCCCTGGCCTTGGGCCTGGAGCCAGGGGACCCACTCCCAGACACGGGCCTCTGTGCCTCTGTGCCGGACCCAAGGTCCTTGTCCTCTCACCTGCCTTCTCCAGGAAGGGCTCTTGGCTGTACCCCTGCTGCAGCTGTGGCCAGCGGAGGCGGGAACGTACATCTGTCTCCCCTTGCCAGGCGGGACACACACCTGGCCCCACCATCTAGCCCTCACCTCGCTGGGAGCCCCAGCCCTTCAGCTCACCGGGGTGATGTAGCCCAGGACAGCCCCGTCTAAGTGCCTCTCCCGGGCTCTGGCGGAGCAGTAGCTGCGGTGCTCAAGAACCACGTCCTCAGCACGGATGTCCGTTCCCACCAGGCCCCGCTCCTGCACAGGCCTGTCTGCGAGCTGGGTCTGGAGACAGAGGATGCACAGGTCACCTGTGCCCAGGTGACAGAGGCCCCAACCCGGGCCAGGGACACCTCCTGGTGCCAGCCCTTCCCCTACCCCTGAGGTAGCACCCACCCCTCCTCACCCGCTATGACGCCCAGGCCACAAGGGCTGAGGGGGGCTCATGGGGCCCCTCCCTAAGCAGCTGACAACCCCTGGAGGTGACACATCTACTCTCAGGACCAGCCTGGAAGAGCAGCTCAGCCCCCAAGGGGACACTCCCCTCAGGGGTCGGGTGTGTGTGCAGGGGGACGTCAGGGGTGGGGACACAGGGGCGCAGGGATGCAGACAGGGTGGGATGCAGGTGTGGAGATGGAGTGGGGGCAGGACACTCTGCCCAGCCCAGACGCTCACTGGGCAGTGAGGCTGCCTACCCACCCAAGCGCCCAGGCCAGTGCTGTTGGCCCCGGCCGTGCAGGCGCGAGTGGGTATGCAGGTCTGGCTCTTGCCTGCCAGGCCCCACCTTCTCCAGCAGTGTTTTTGAAGCAGCCTTCTTGGCGTCCGACTTGGACAGGGTGGCATGAACGAGGCCACAGGCCAGGGCCAGCCCCAGCACATCCAGGAGCGTTCTCATGACAGGTGGTCAGAGCAGACTCCGACCTCGGCATCCAGGGCACTGTGGAGAGAGCAAGGCTCAGCTCGGAAGACTTCACCCCGGAAACGTGGGCTTGGCCTTGGCTCCCTGATCAGCCCTGAGGAGCAGGTGGGACCCCATCCCAAAGGTTCCTCCTAGCCAGGACACTGGCTCTGCCTGGATCCCCAAGAAGGGGCCTCGCTACTGGGCAGAGGGGCCACACCAACCACGGTCGTCCATTGAGGACATCAGCTCCCCACCTCCCAGCTCAGAGCTGGCGGGAGAAGGCGCAGGGCAGAAGCCCTGGCCCAGCTGCAGCAGTGGGTGAGCCCAGGCGAAATACCACTTCCCCCACCGCCTGTGAGGGTAGACAGAGCAATGACAAGTAGTGCCATGGGTGGGGCCTCCGGCATGTCCCTGCTGGCTGGGGATACTCCAGGCTGGCCGCCCAGGTCTCCACTGGGTGCCATCCCATTCCTGACTGGGGCCGGGGCCTGTGGACTGGAACAGCACGCACTTCCAGACACGCCCCCCGTGACAGCTGGGGCCTGCTGCGGGCAGAAGACACTGGGTGCAAAGCGAGGAAGAAGCGGGAACCCATTCCCACCCACGGGGCAGCCCAGGCCTCCAGGCACCAAGGTGACAGAGTGCACGATCCAGGGCCCTCCCACAAGGTGTGTGCGCACAGGACCAAGTACATGGTGGGGGGGCGGGGCAGGCAGCCCAGAATCACTGGCGGTTTTGCTTCATACTTCATCTTGTCTTTATTTTCTGACTTGTGCGATTTATCTTAGGTCAGAAAAATGTCCCACCGCCAACCCCGCACCACTCTGCCTCCTGCCACCTTCTGCTCCTGAAGACGAGAGTGAGGAAACAAGCACCCCCTTCCTCACTGTCCCCGCATCTCCTCGAGGCTCTAACAGCGCATGTACAGAGGGGATCCGTCCACACATTCCCGTCCCAACCAGCCGAAGCAAGGTGCAGGCAGGAAGCACAGGCCGCCAGCCCCTCCCCAGGGTCCCCACTGTCTGAGGTGGCTCATGGGCCAGGCCAGGCAGGGGGCTCTCCCTCAGCCAGAGCATCCAGGCCAGACCAACAGGGCGTGCCCGCCCTTACCCCCTGCAAGCCCCCCCACTCTGCCCTGCTGCTTCCTGGTCAGGCCAGATGCTCCCCACTGACTGAAGGGCGATGGAGGCCCCCCGGGGCTCCACCCCGACACACCAACACCTCGACAGGGGGCCCTTGGGCACCCACCTGTGGGCGGTGAGAGTACCAGCTCCAGGAAACTATAAATAGGTGCCTGGCCATCAGGGCTCCCGCCAGGCCCACGGGCACTGCCCATACACACAGCATCACTCCAATGGTGACAGCAGTCCCAGAGTGGGTAGGGGCAAGGTGACCAGGCTGATGGTCCCCTCCTTCTCCCTGGGGACACATCCCAGCCTCAGAAATGTCAGGGGCCCACGACTGACCTATGTGTCCAGGTACTAACCCCGCCACCCCCCCCCCCCCACACACACACCGTTACAGCTGGACACAGGCATAGTGCATGGCAGCCCTGGGCTGGGAAGGGATCTCTGTCTGGGCTCTACCTCCAGGGGACCCTGGCACAGGTAGGCAGGCCCGCAGGGTCACCCATGCCTCTCCTGACTGCACTGTGGGCCCAGGTTGGGCAGTTTGGCCAAGGAAGGAAGGGTGGCTAGGACCACCAGGCCTCACGATAGAGCTCCAAGGAGGTGGGTGCAGACCCACAAACCCAAGGTCTAGCACACAGGAGAGGTGGCCGAGCACGGAGCAGGGGCAGCTGAGCTCATGGGAGGGGTGGCTGTGCCTTCTTGCTCACCCGCCAGGGTGTGCCAGCAGACTGCCCCGGCTCTCTGCACCAGCTCTGACCCGTGCTTTCTGCCCGTCTGCTGCCCCAGGCTATCTCCCACACCCCTCCTTTCTGGCTCATGCTCCTCCTGACCGAGGACTCGGAGTTCTGGGTCACTGAGGGGGGGGAGAGACACCCCTTGGGAGAGCAGGCCAGCAGCAGGGTGGGCGGTGGGTGCCCAGCACCCCTCCCTTCCTGCATCACCCCAGTACCTCCACACATCACTGCAGGGGCACTGCTGCCACCCTAGAGGCTCTGCCTGCAGCCCCCCCAAGCTTGACTTGGGGCATCTCACCAAGGGGCAGGGGGGAAGGAGGGTGGGCTGTGGAACCCACAGAAGCAGGCAGAGCGCAGAGCCCATACCTGCAGGCTGGCCCTGGGGTGAACTTGCTCCCTCAGGCTGTACCATGACAAGAGGTGGGTGGGCAGGACATGGGGGGGAGCATGTGCAGGACACGTGTGGAGAGTGGATGGGCCCATGGAGGGAGGATAGCCCGGCAGAGACAGGGCATGCTTTGACCAGATCAGGGCCAGAGCCTCCAGTGTGACACCTTGAGGAGTCATTCCAGATGCACCAGAGGGCTGTCCTGCCCGCGTCAGTGGGCTCTGTGGATGGGGGTTGGGGGTGTGCTCCCTGATGACCTCAGGGCCAGGCGCTCCCCATTCCAGGTGCCACATCCGCGGGCCAAGAATCTCCACTTCAGCACTGTGTTGATGGGCAGACAGCTAGTGCCAGTGGTGGCCCTCCAACGCCATGGTAGACCCACAGTAGAAACGTGTTCTACACCCCAGCCTGGTGTACATGTGGGCTGCATGCCTAAGCACATGCACATGGCATACATACGGCACATACATATGGTATGTGCACACAGACAACATGAACATGTTGCGCGCACACTCGTGGTACGTTTATAGCATATGCATGATACACACGTGTACAATTGTGTACGCATGCCACATAGTTTGCACGTCTATGCACATGTATGGTACACTGTGTGCAGAGGTGTGGCGTGTGCATGATGTACATGTGTGGTACATGTACACGTGTGGTGCATGCTCACACGTGTGGTACACTGTGCAGATACCCATGTTATACACTGTATGCAAATGCATTGTACACTTACACACGATATGTGTGTGTGTATAGTATACTTTATACAAACGTGGTGCATATGCACACACGTGCATTATATGCAGATATGTAGCCTACATGCATGTGACAAGTACTAGTGTGGTACACCATGCAGCCATGCGGTATGTGTGCATCTGATATCTGCATGTGTGGGGCAAGTACACACATGTTGTATGCTATACACAGACATATGGTACATGTGCATGTGATAGGTAAACGTGTGGTAACTGTGACATGTGGTGCCATCATGTACGACACACTGACTTTTTTGTCTCAGCTCATTTTCCAAAGGCTGGATTTACCCATTACACCAACCTCCCCACTTAGTAACCGGCACAGGAAACAGGGACCTCTGTGCCCTGTCTGCTGCCAATGTCAATAGGGATGCTGCGTCTTCAGCAAGTGTTGCGGTCAGGTACACACAACTTCACCTTTGAGCCTCCCGTGAGGGCAAGTGACTCTTGGAAACGAGGGTGGCTTGAGAGGCAGGACAGCCACATGCTGCTGAGGTTTACTGACCAGTTGCAGAGTGCGGGCCTGCGTGTGAATGAGTTCTCGCCATGGCCCCAGGACACAGTCAAGGAAACCAAGGCCCCGCGGATGGCTAACATACTGAGCTGGGGCATGTAGCTGACTCCAGCACATGAGGACAAGAAAGCGGGTCCAGGTCTGGTGAGCCACTGTCCTGAACCCTGAGACCTGGACCCACTTTCTTGTCCCCTGGCCTTGAAGGGAGAGGAGGGCAGGTCACCTCTAATCCAGAAAGCCTACAACTCTGGGGCCGAAGTGAGGGCAGGATCCAGTCTAGGGCACCCCACGCTCCCCAGAGCCCCTGGGTCACTCAACCTGCACTCGGAGGCAGAGCTTGTGGCCTGGCCTCTCAGTGGCTTCGATATT